TGAGCCACTCATCACAGTGATAGTTTTAGTGCAGTGATCACACCCGAGCTTTATGTCAGATGGCCAGAGGATTCACTGCATTTAGGAGGAGATCTGGGACCTGCCTTTCATCGGTATGGGGGCACCATCTGATAATCTGCTCCACTGTATCATCGAATTGGAAGTTAGACATTATTTTCTTTGCATTGTCGGTAGCTTCAATCCCAAAAAACTTTTGTGGATCACAAATCCACACCATGAACCTGGATGTAATTGAGGGGAATAGAAAGGAGTGAACCTTTAGACAACACTAATTAAATATCCTGCGCCTTACACAACAGATATGAGTCTTCGTACCCCCCTCCACCCCACAGAGCCTGATTTGTACACAGTTCTTGTGGCCCATCTCAAAGGTTGAGCCCCTCGGGTAGGGTAGGGGGATTACTCCTCTTGTTGTGTCACAAAGGATCAGGAAGACAAGAATAAAGGAAATGGTGGACGCAGGTTGAACCAGATCAGACAACATGATTCAGAGAGACAGAGGAGAGGGCAGTACGAGGCCGACAGGAGAAGAGGAAGCAAAGAAAAATAGGCGAGAGGGGAGGGAAAGGTTGAAGAGAAACAAAAAAGGTCCAGACAGAGGTGGCAGACTCTAACACGGATCTACAACTTGCTCAAATATAATATCAAATTACTGAAAGGGTTTGGAGGGGAGAGCAGACGCTCATTGACTGTTGCCTCACTGTGTGCATGTGCGCGGGCACTGAGGCAGGAATGTCAGGCATGCACTGGAAAACAAGCGGGGGCCTCCTCTTCAGCCCGACCCGGGAGTGAGGCTCCCGGCTCCAAGATCACAGGGAAGCGGGCGCGCTCTGCAGCGCTGCTCACACCGGCTGGTATTTACTGGATCATTATGCAACAGGAGCACGGACCTTCCAACTTCAAACGGGATCTCAGCACGACGTGTGATTATTGGGTTACAGTGACGTCGGAAACGTCGGGAACAGGAGGTCGTTTCTGGACTGTAAACCTAAGAGCTTTCCGGGCGCACGACAAGGCACTGGCCACCTTTTAGTTGTTTGAATGAACAATACGCATTCTGCGTGGGAGGGGAAGACTTGCGTCACTGGACAAATAATGATCGGATTCACCCGCGCTGAAATAGCAGCAATTCAATTCATCAAACCACTCTAGGAGTGAATACATATTCAAAGTCCCCTTCAGAGTCCAAACCACCCCCACACAGCAGCTCTTTCCAACACTCGCCCCCCGTGCACATTCCCAGCCTTTTCTCTGTTGCACAAGTCCGCAAACATACAACTTGGCAGAAGACAAAGAGCCCATGCATGAGCGACCGCTCTGCGCTGGAGAACACCTGAGCGGACGCTGACGAGATCGCCTTTGAAGGCTCCGTGTAAAGAGGACCTTTCAAGTCGTTCATCCGATCTGCACGTTGACCCAAAATTTACACCACACCTGTCCGGCCTCCTGCCGTCGGGTTTCTGCCGTCCCAGGGTCCCCCAAGCCCCCCACCAGTCTCCTTCGCCAGCTTGCAGGACGACAACACAGCAGGTTAAGGGCAGAGCCTTCCAGTACTCGTGCCAATGCATTTAAAATCCAGTTATGTCAGTGGCTGTGTGCATCCTTAAAGCCAACCTTTCCGGGACACTGCAAAAAAGGTTATTTCCAGCTGGGGCTTTCTTATCCAGCTTTTTTATTTATTATTCCCCCGCGTGCGCTACGAGGAGGTACACACAAGGTAAATGTGTGAAAGAAAGGGCGGAGGCTGGTCGTCCTCGGGGGCTGATGATGATGATGGGAAAACATTGCAAAGGCCTCTCAAGGTCTTTCTGATCAGAGAGTGGGCGAGTGCTGGGCGTCCCCCGCTGGCTCCTCGGACGCAAAGCCACCCATCTGGGGGGCCCTCTCTGCTTGACCCCCCCCCAGTGACACATACGACTGAGAGAGAGACAACAACAATGCTACAGAGCAGCATTCATCCGCTCATTAAGTCATCGCGCTTTGGGGGAGAAAAGGGAGGTGGTTTTGACGCAAAGAGTTTCCAAAAGATTTAAAAATAGCTTTCTCTGGTCATGGTCATGTTTTGCACTCGTATTTTGAAAATAGGCAACAAGGCAGCGTCTTAAAAAAACGAACGGCCGCAGACAAATCCAGTGTGGAAAACAGCCTTTGAATCATATGGTGTAACACGCTGTTGTGAGGAAATAAACACGACCCCACTACCAGGCTCCTGAGAAGTGAGGAAAAGAGGTTTATTGAGCCAATCTCTTAAGAACATAGTGCTGGGTGGGGGGGCCGGGAGTTGATTAAGCAGTAAATGCTCCGGTAACGCTTGAGCTTTAATGTATGTGTAATTTTTGCAAAAAGATCCAAGAGGGTTTAATCAACACCCCGAGATCGAATTTAATCAGTTTGGGGGCAAAGGTGGGGGGGGGGGGGGGGGGGGGACTCTGTTAGTATGGACAAATCCTAAAAGAGCCGCCCATCCAGCCATACCATTCCGTTGATGGAGGGGAAGCTGAAGGCGGCCTGACCTGGATGGAGAACAGGGAAGACGGCGCCATGAATCATTGCTTCATTTTATTATGGCGGGGGATTATTTTACACAACAAGTTCAGTTTGTTGTCACAAGGAGCTTCTGCTCAGTGCAGCGGTGCGCTCGGCTTACTTTGAGTATATGAAATTGGTCACAATGAAGTAATACCTTGACTTGGGATTCTGTTTTTGGAATATCTCGGGGTCTACCTAAACACTGAATTCAAATGGAAAACGAATACAGATATTGTTACAGATATATATTAGAGCTTAAAAGCTTTCTAAAGTTATCATACAATAAAAACACATAAATCTGATTTTCTTGGCCCTTTACATTCAGTCATCCTGAATACAATACAACAATTTATAATACTGAGCAACTAAACTTTCGCCAAACATCATATTTAACTAATTTAAATCACAGGTTCTTACCCTGGATGTGTGTGTATGATTGTAATCAGCCAATGTACAGCTCTAAATATTCATACATATTTTCTTATTTTTCACTTGAGTTCTTAATTATATGACAAAATACAATAATAATCTATGGCCCAGGTGTCTATTATAACACAGGAGTGGATACTTTTTCTCTTATTTATTTGACCCAACAGTAAACATGCTGTATTGAGATCCTTATTTAAATGACCTATAGCGGCATAGAAGACTTTATCCGCCCTCCTCTCTCTCCCTCCGAGGCCCCGTCTGCTCCCCCACAATGACAGGAACCAGTGGAAGTAGGGGAGATAAAAGAAACCTTTCTTTTTTAACAGGCTCATTCACTTGCCTACTAACAGGACACGCTAAAACAACATCCCAGAGGCCGAGGTTCCACCTGCCCTGGAGAACACAGATGCTTCAGAGCTTCACTGGGAGTTTTAGGCAGAATCCTGTCTGCTGTGGGTTTGTTTTGCGCCTGCGGCCCAACAGAAAGACGCTCCACAGAACTGCCCATACAAATGGAAATGGCCCAGAGTGAAATGCGTGCTTATTTTGCCTTGTGTGATTTGACAAGCATGAAATGAATTCCAAAAAAAGGTTGGCGAAGGCGGGCGGCAACACTGAAAGCAACCATTTTCTAGCTTTGATTTGGGGAGGGGGAGCATTGGGAGGCCTGTCAGTTCTGACCCATAAAGCCATTTAGCATGTGGTGCTCTAAAGTTGTGAAGCGTGTTGGTATGTTGGCTTCCATTCTCACTTTTCTTTTCCCTCACGTGTCACATCACACATGGCCTTCACACTCAGCGCAGTGGTCCCCATGGCGGGCGACCGGGGGGCTACAGACTGATCCTCAGCAGATATGACCTACTTTCCATTCAAGCCCTGTCTCTCTTTGTTCCCTCCGTGGTGGTGGAGGAAGGCTGCAGCAGCCTTTGGAACAAAGACCACAAGCCCCCTTCTAAACAAGCTGACCCTGCCTAGATACAGGCACCCCCAAAAATGGCCCGGGAAGAGCTGTGGCTCTCGAAGAAAACGCTCCTTTTTCTACTCAGAGCTGCCCCTGCTGCATACGGGGGAGGCTAAACCTGCACCCCTCCACCTGCACCCCATACGCCTGACTCCGAGGGAAAAGACCAGTATCACAGAGGGTGGGAGGAGGCCCTGACCTTTTGACCTGGGGACTGCAGGGAGAGGGGGAGGATGTATTGCGTTTTGTTGCGAGGGAGGGGGCATCAGGAAGTTCGGATCCCTGCATAGTGCTTAGTCCCTCCATACAGTTGCCAGACCCCTAGCAGAGATAACTGCTTCAAAGCATGTGTTTTTTGTGGCGATACCAGTCCTTGCATGCATTCCTATCGCACTACAAAACTACACTTCCACGCAGTTGAGTTTGTGGCATTTCTATTTTCTACCTGAAGACCCAATTACAGAACCCTCAATTTGATAATGTTTAATGACCCAACTGCAACAGTCCACCCCTCCCCGGAAAAATGTGCACATCTGTTCAAGCCAGACCAAACACGCTTCAAGGGCAACAGAAGTGATTTAATCAGGAACCGCAACCACAACTGTTGCCGCTTTTGTCAAATCTGGCAAATAGGGCACAAGGATTGTGTGGAGGTAGAGTGCCGTCGGGGCTGATGAATGAATGCAGCCCAGTAAGAGATATTGCAGGAAGAGCTCGCAGTCTCTGAGCACCCAATTTGACTGAATCTGATGGGCACAAGGGCGGTTATCAGCAGCCGACACAGGGGGGAGTACGCGGTGGGAAGAAAGGAAAGGAATGCGCAAAGAGACAAAACCAGAGTCTGTACTTTGCATCTCCAAGGTCTTTAAGTCTCCAAGTGGATTATTCTCTTTAACTAACAAAGAATGCAAGTGGATCGTTTGTTTCTAGAAATGCCATCCTGGCTAAACATGACGTATATCCATTGATGATGGTCCTTTTGACATAAAGCTAACCAAGAAAGTTCCTATAACTATTCTACTAGAATACCGTTTCTAAAAAGACGTAAGCAGCACCTTACCGGCATGTGTTCAGTTGAGCTGCTGCTTAGCTCGTCCCCAGACTCGGAGTCGTTGTGGAGCTTGTTCAGCCGATCTCCGGACAGGTCACACGGTGGGGAGGCCTTGCCGCTGTCCGGACTCGTGTCGTGACTGTTCCCCACTTTGAGCGGCGGCGATTCCGCCCGAGTCCTCGGCAACGTGGAATTGTTGCCGTGGTGATGGTTGTTGTTGTTGTGAAGAAGCACCAGTTCAGCCACCATCTTGCAGTGGTGGGGACTTCCCACGTTCTGGTTGGCGTCCTTGGACATGGCCGGCGGCGTGAAGCGATCAGAGGATGGCGACGGCGTGGAGGAAGGCGATGGGCGCCCAAAGCTGGACATTTCCGGATGGGCTCGGTGGAGGTTTTCGTTGGACACTCGGCAGATATCCAAAACGGTGGGCTTGGCCCTCAGAGTGGGCTTCTGGGGGGGCATGAGCGCACGACGTACCTCCCGGACGTACTGAGCCGGCACATAAAAGGCCTTCGTGCCCTCGTCCTTCCTTACCTGCCACCAGTCCTCGTTGGTCTTCTTAACAAGCATGTAGCACTCTCCCTGGCGGATGGCCACCATCTTGTCTTTGGCCTTGTACTCATAGTCGAACTCCACCTCGATGTAGATCTGGCCCGGGGCGATGGGGGGCCCCTCTCTGTCGGCCATGGCTGCCGGAACGCGCACTTGAACTCTGACCTCAGCGACCCAGGTGAGGGGGGCTCCACATGACCGACTGGGGATGGGGGGGCACTGCTGGGCTGTGGGAGATGAGGCAGACTGTTAAGTGTCACAGTGTATATTTTTCTATATAAAAAAGGCACATGAACTTCAGAAAGCTCCAGAAGATACAACCACAAAAACATGCTTTCATTTCATTGTACAAACCTCCCAGCGGGTCACACCCAAGGTATTACTCACCTGACTACCGCAGCCGCAGAGCACTACTCCCAATATGACACCATCTACCACATACAGACTCTATTGGTGAGTCGAATAAAGATCACCACACCATTAGCCCTGCCTGTGTTCACCCTAAACCAAAACAGACCGTCAACCCTGAGTGCTCTGGTAACCAACACCGCTGCTAAGGATATCCAGCCTGAAACCTGATCACCATCTGCGGAGCTGAAGCTGATGACAACGTGACCCCCGAAAATACCTGCACGCGATCCACCAACCACAGTGACTCCCTGGAGCTTGCACACCCTCAAAGAATGCTTCCAAAAATAAAAAGCTGCGAGTCTCTTCGATGAGTTCTGCAGTTTGGCGTCATTACTCATTAATGCAGATGCAGTTTTGAAACCTTTAAAAAGCTTTTTGGTGGTGGGGGCGGGGTGGGGGGGACACATAGGCCCTTGCTTGGCCCTGCAGAGCTCGTCCCAGAACGAGGCGTGCCTTTGATCTGCCTGTCAGAGGGTCTCCCATGGCCGGTTAGCGGATAGGGGAGCTGCTGCCGAGCGGTCTGCAGACCCCCTCTTATAGAATTCACTCTTCCTCCCCGAAAATAGCAGCCGCCCCCGCTGGCGAGGACTGACATTCTGGCGGTAAAAGCAGGTGCTTTTAGTAAGGCGTTGGAACTCGCCGCTGATTCTATAAGGGGTCCATCCTTATGTAAAGGAATACGCACACACGCTGTGAAGCTCAGACGGACAGCCACGCACCCAGAATAGATTGAAGGTGCAGAGGGCCGTCTGGGCCCTTGAGGGACCGGCTGCTTTTTCACAATGGGCTTCAACTGCTTCAGTTTCCTCGGTTCCAACACCATGAAGCACGCACAGTGGCAATAACATCATACCATGGCTATGAGTGTGTGTGTGCGCTTCAGACAGGATGTCAACACGCACGTATGTCCAGTTCAAGCTGTCAGTTTCAGTTGGTGTAGTGAGTCACATATCCCGTGTAATGCCACACGGCCCCAATCTACAGTTCACACCATTGCCAGAGGTGCCACAAATGTGGCCTGTCGGGGCTCCTGGTCACGCACGCCCGTTATCAGCGATGCTGCATGAAGCCTGCTGCGCTAAAAAAGGAAACTTGGGCCGCGTCTCCGGTGTGTTTAAGCTTTTCTATAGCCGTATGCGGCCCTGCATACGACGATAAAGGATGAAAATGTGTAGCAAGCTACATGCAGGTGCCGGAGGGTGGGAACGTCCCGCTGTTGTGATGTCATTTTGCCTGTACCTTTGGAGGCCCCGTGTGACATCACTCAATTTCCATAAAAAACTCAATTGAAACTGTGCCCCTCAAGTACAATACAGAAGAAATTTACAACTACACCCCCCCCCCCTCTCCCTTTGTCCTGCTCTCTCTGAAATGTTGTGGTGTCCCGGGGTCCAGGCCAGAGGACACAAGAGAGTAAATTCTGCTGCAATGGAATGGCCTGTCGCCGCATGGCGTCCGGTCTCCAGAGAGAGCGCAGGCCAACTTGTTGCTCTGCAGAGATTCAAAAGGATGGTGCTCATGTGTGGAAAAAAAGAAAACGGTTGGCACCGCTCAGCACGACCCGGGAGACTCGATGAGCATTGTCCATCTGTTCACATGGAACAAAGCCCCACTGTCCCTTCCATTTAGTATTTAGGAATCAATCGTTTGTTTTTAAAATACGGCACAAGGCAACAATAACAGTTAGGGAATGAGAACCATCAGGTTCTGCTGTTCTTGGTTCGTATGTTGATCCACTTTTAAAACCTTCTTTGCTCCCCCTGACTTGTCCAGATTCTGTTATGTTGATTCCGCAGCGTATGTTGCGTAGAGGGCGTGACTCTATTTCACCTTTAGAGGGATGTGCAATTCTATAGAAAAACCTCAGCCCGGGAATCCTGAATGCAATGAGCAAAGTGGTTCCCATGGAAACATCCAAATCGTGACAGCTTCGGGAGGTGAACGTTTATAAAACAAATGGTCGATCCCAGCTGCTCCTATTGTGTGACAGGGACGTGTCGAAATCAAGTGCCCCTCAGTTAAAAACATGCCGGTGTTTAATCGGCATCATTTCAGAAAAGCCCCCTGGATGAGGAGGGGGCGTCACGACCCGTTCTGTTGTCTGCATCAACATCTGCAGAGCAGCCGCCATACAGCAGCAGTGCACCACCCCGAGAGCCGGAGTGCCTTTGTCCCCTGTGCTTCATTCAAAGCAGATGTGGCCGAGCAGCATCCACCCGACACGTGCTGCGGCATCCCGCTCCATCTATGCGGCGCTATCTGCTGCACGCGGGGGGGGGGGGGGGGGGGGGGCCCCCCCTCTAATGGGGGTTTTTTTTTTCTTTTTACCCCTACATCTGGCCTCAGAAACGCACCTCCCTTTTAAATCTGGGTGGGTTTTTATCTCAACTCCACACCGGTGCGTTTTTGTGACTGGCTCGTGAAAAGGTGAAAAGCTGGGGGGGGAGAACTTATCTGGCGACTGACAGATAGGCAGACAAGAGTCACAGAGCACAAACACACGCGCACACACACACACAAAAAACCGTGAGAACATTCAATTACGTGTGACTTTTCCTGCAACAACGCCGAAGCATAGAATAGCAGGCCTGAAATGGTCCCTAAGAAATGTGGTGAGAACCCACTTTCAAAAATGATAAAGGTTGGCGCTTTGGACATATCTCGCGCGCGTATTTATGGCGAAATTTTTAAAAAA